GTCGCAGACCAATTCGCTATGCTGTGCTCTTGTGCTTTCCCTCCCTTCCTCCCTCCCTTCCTTCCTCAATTATTAGTCTCTCTCACACTGTTTGCATGCACACTAAGGAAATCACAGGAGATTAAAAAAATTCTTGATCATCTAAAAACAATTAACTTTGAAGACCTACATCAGGGTTAGTTACATTATATATTCCATAAATGCTGGTAATGCATTTTATAAAGTCCTATTCTTGTAAAAGTATTATAATCAAAAATTACTTTCAAAATGGAAATAATTTTGTAAATCAAGAATTTCATTCATTTTTGTTGCAGAATCTTTTAGAAAATACAAATCACCTTAATTCCTACCCTCCAACAGCAACTTATGTCCCCAAAGACCATTTCAACTTCTAATAGATGACTACTCACTGTCCTGTCTCCATATCTGCCTCCTCTTCCTGCAAATCTGCTTAGATCTTTAAATTACCAAGTTATCCACTCTCATTAAAGACGCCAAAACAATTCAGACAGCTATAAAAAAGGTAATAATCTCTCCATCACCATCTACCCTTTTGGGATAACCAGTTAGGAGTATCCTTCCCCACTAAATTTATATACATGTCATATTACACATACAAGATTTTTTTTTTGCCTTTTTATTTTTTTATTTATTTTTTTACCGAAGTAGCATCATGTTTCTGTCCTTCAGTGTCCTATCTTCACATAGCATTAGATCATAGACATTGATCCAATCAAAATAGAAAGACCTCATTCTTCGTTTAGGAAACTACAAAATTTACCATAATTAATTTAATCTTTCCCCTGCTGATAGACATTTTGTTGTTTAGGTATTTTTTTTTTTTTTAGTTAAAAAAATTTTTTAGGCCATTAGGCAGTGTTTCAAGTAACTTCATGTTCTTATATACAGATACTCTTAATCTTGTAGATTCCTCAAAGTGGGAATGCTCTAAAAGTATTTTACTTTTAATAGAAGCCACCATACTACTTTGTAATAAATAAAACAAAACATGTCCAAGATCTTTACATTAAAAACTACAAAACATTGCCACAAGACATCAGAAATGATCTAAATAAATGGAGAAAATCACCATGTTCATGGATTGGAAAATTCAGTATTGTTAAGATGTCAATTCTCCCCAACTATAGATTCAAGGCAATTCCAATCAAAATCTCAATAAACTGGGTTTTTAAATAGTAACTAACAAGTTGATACTAAAATTTATATGATAACTGCTAAAAGAATTTTAATAAAGAACAAAGTTGGAGACCTTACATTACTGATTTCAAGGCTTGTTATAAGGTTACAATTTGATAAAGATCAATGAAAATGAATAGCAAACTTGCCAATAAACTCACATTGATTGTAACAAAGGTGTTTAAGGCAATTCAATGGGGGCAGGGGGAAGGAAAGTTTTTTTCAAAGAATAGTGCTGGAACACAACTGGATAGCTGTAAAGCAACAAATGAACATTGATCCTTACTTTAAACCAAACATAATAATTACTCAAAATGGATCACAGACCTAATGTAAAAGTGAAAACTAGAAAACTTCTAGAAGAAACATAGGGAAAAATCTTCGCAAACATTTATTAGACAGAACACAGAGCATGAAACATAAAACAAAATTTAAAAATTGATAAACTGTACTTCATCAAAATTTAAAGTCTTGTTTTTCTTTTATTCCCCCCTTTTATTATTTATTTATTTAATTTTTAAATTTATCTTTATTGTTGAAAGTATTACAGATGTTCCAGTTTTTTCCCCATTGATCCCCTCCACCTTGCATCCCCCCTCCTTCTTTAACAAGTATGACTGAGAAGATCAAAAAGGCAAGCTACAGAGTGGGAGAAATATTCACAGCACAAATATCAGATAAAGGACTATAATAAAAGTATATAGAAGTCTTACAACTCAATATTAAGAAGAGAAACACCTCAATTAAAAAAAGTGGGCAAAGGATTTTAACAGACACTCCACAAAATAAATCATGTGAAAAGTCCAATAAGCACATGACAAGACACTCAAAATCATTAGTCATCAGGTAAATGCAAATAAAAACTGCAGTAAGATATCACTACACACCTATTGGAATGGCTAAAATTAAAAAGACTGACTATTCCAAATGCTGACAGGGATGTGGAGCAACTGGAACTCTTTAATACACTGATGGTGGGAATATAGAACTGTACAACCTCTTTGGAGAAGTTTGGCAGTTTCTTAGAAAGTTAAACAAAAACCTACCATAAAACTCAGCTATTCCACTTCTAAGTATTTACCCCAAAGGAATGAAAACAGATGTCTACATGAAGACTTGTACACAAATGTTCACAGGAGCTTTATTTGTAAGAGCCAGAATTTGGAAATCCAAAATATCCATCATAGGTGAGTGGATAAGCAAAATTTGTTGTGTCCATACAACAAAACCCTGCTCAAAAATAATAAAGGCACAACTATTAGTACATGCGACAAGTAAGGTGAATATCAAAATCATTATTAAGCTGAGTGAAAATCCAGCCAAACAGACAGACTATATTCTGTAGGATTAAATACTAGAAAATGCCAAATAATTATAGTTATAGAAAGCAGATCAGTAGTTATCTGGGGAGGGGGTGGAGGAAAAAAATGAATTATCAAGGGGCACAAAGAAACCTTTGGAATTGGGGAAAGTCTCAGAATCTTGACTATGGTTGTTTCACAGGTGTATACATTTTGCCAAAACTTACCAAACTGTACACCTAAATACATACAATATGTATGTAAATTGTGCCTCAACTGTTGAGCACTTTTCTTTTTTTTGGCCTGTTTCTTTTTCTTTTTTTAAATTTTATTATTGTTTAAAATATTACAGATGTCCCTTTTTCTCCCCAATGACCCGTTCCACCCCGTTCCTTCCCCCTCCCCAGTCCCTCTCCCTACCATTGTCCATGTCCTTGGGTTGTGTATATATATATATATA